AAGAGTTTCTTCCGAAAGTCAGGAGTCGAAGTAGAATCATTTCTTAAAGTGCACATATCTTCTGCGGTTCTGCATTCATTTGTCAGATAGTACATGTGTGAATATATAAACATAAATTAAATTACTCACTTCATAATCATATGTAAGATTTACTTTGGGTCCAATAACAGCAATCTCTAGATCACTATGAAGATATGATTTGCGAATTCGAGAGTTCAAGAGTGGAGCTTCAAACCTCGGGTTGGTTCCAACCAATAAAACCAAATCTGCTTCTTCCACACCTACAAACAACACACACTATTCAATTCATATAGGAGGTACATAAGCAAAAGACAGAAAAGTACAATTCCAGCCAGGGTAGCTCAATCAACATAATCACTGACTACGGGGCTGAACAACCAGCGTTTGATTTCCAGCAGGGGAAAAATAACCCTTCTCTTAGCCTCCATGTCCAGATTGGCTCTGGGGCTCGTCCCGCCTCCTATCCAATGGGAAAACTGAAGCTGACCACTTATCTCCACCAAACACTGATGTCAAGAAAGAATGGCACCACACCTCCACTACCCCATGCATCTTCATTACGAGGTGCTTAATAAGTACAAAGGACAACATTGCCTTTTATTTCAGCAGTCAAGACATATTACGTTTTACGAACAAATACAACGTGAAGAACTGTACCTGCAATCTTGGTGTTGAGAAGGTAATTTGAACGAAGATCTGTCCCAGAGCCATCTAGTGGGAATACATGCTCGGTGCACAGACTCTCTGATCCTAGTCTGTTGAGCAAGTCCTTCAGAGCCACCAGTGACTGCCGATAATATAAGATATGAAATATAATATACTATATTAAGTTACAACAGAAAGTATATAATTTTATAAATTTATTTTGAACCAAACGATAGTACTCTAAAAATTATTTTTGTGTCAATGAAAACAGTAATTCAAATTGATTTGTATTCCACGGGTAATCAAAATGAGTCCCATTTGTAATTTATGGGTTAAATTTTAGCAAAAGGAAAAATCAATTAATGCTGAAATACTACACTGTGCAATTCTAAGGAACCTAACAAGTGTAGGTTATAGTAAAGCTGGAACAAATTGTGGTGGTTTACAAACTAATACCAAGATATCTTTTGCAGGACAATTAGTGTGATCAAAATAAATTTCTAAAAATCATAACCAAAACCCATGACTAAAACAAAAAAAGATAAACGCAAGGTCAATTCACGTTCAGTTACCTCAGCATCCGCAAGGCCTCCTGCTACGGCAGCTACGTCTCGACCGGCTGCCCTGATAGCTTTACTGACAGCTATCAGAGCGTCTTCCCACTGAACAGCAACTAGCTCACCACTTGCATTTTTCAACATTGGAGTTACAAGGCGCTGCCTTTTCAAACCGTCATAAGCAAACCTTGCTTTATCTGACAGCCATTCCTCATTAATTTCCTACAAAGAAATTTACTGTAATGATTACAATTAGAAACAACGACTATTTGTGAGATTTGTTATAATTGTTCCCCCATGAATAAATAATACATAAAAATAATGAATGCTATCTCATATGAAGTACGCATTCATCGACTGACTTACTACGTAGTTAGTTAACTAAATTAAACAACAAAGGTCCCAAAACAGATCCTTGAGGAACACACAACAGCGCGGTGAAACGCAATGAAACAAATTCCAGAAAAACAAAAACAGCACAGCCTATGAGTGTACAAACGTAGAATGATTTTAACAGGTGCTCCACAGGGTTGTGATATGCCGAATAATAAACATCTCAAGAAAGACCTTAACACAACACTTTAGGACAGACTACAGAAGGCTCCGTGTCAGAACGCGTTACCTCATTAATTCTCGGCAATACCCTGAGTACTTCTCCCGTGCGGGTTGTGACCACAATATTACTGCCAATTGCATCCAAAACATCCACGCTCTCCGTCTTCCTCGTTTCCCAAGGTCTGGCGGTGAAAGCGTACGGTTTAGAAGTGAGAGCTCCAACGGGACAGAGGTCAATCACATTTCCAGAAAGTTCTGACAGGAAGAACTTCTCTACATACATTCCCACCTGCGGAAAACGGTCAAAAGTTTAGAGTACAACACTGCCCTCACCCTATTTACCAAGTGAACAAGCGTCTGCAATTATGTTCCATTAACAAACATTCTTAAATTATCCTGTACTACGCACAGTCCGATAAAAACAGAAAGTCGAGTCATATCCAACATATACGAGGGCCGGATAAAGTTTTTTAATGAAAGAGACAAACGTGGTAAAAACTTTCTGACAGACAGTAATCTAATCTATTGTAAAATGGAGGCATAAAATACGTCAGTGAAGAAAACGTAACTTTCATCTTTGTAAAGTGTTAAGACCATGAGGGTCACTTGCCATGATGCAGATTGAGGAAGCCTCCAGATATGGAGCTTAGCTGTGAATAAGCAGCCACAAACAGCCAAGAAAGAATGGTCCCCTAGTTGGGGATTTGGTAGAAATATTTTTAACTACTTTGTATGTCAGATTCTAAAACTACTGATGCATGTACCTGCATATCATTTCCACGCCCAGAAGTGCCCAGATCATCAACTCCAGCCACTTCAGATGCAAAGCGGATACAGCGAGTACAATGGATGCACCGGGTCATGATTGTTTTTATTAGTGGTCCAATGTCCTTGTCTTCCACTGCCCTAAACAAGAACAACTAATGCAACTGTTGCAGAATTCAATAACTCGGCAAACGACGGATTTACGCAATTAATTTAGTTAGCAGTGTTACCCCTCTGGTCAAACTTTTCTGTTAACAAAATGTGGATTCACACCACTTTTACTTCATCACGAATTAATGAATCAGAATCAGAAACACAATCAGTTCAGTACAAAAGCCATGACAAAAAGCACGTCTTATCCTTTTACTGGCTTTTACCTCTTTCCAGAGAACTTGATGTCTTCGAAGCGACTCCTGTCACTGCCAAAAGCCATGCTCTGATCTTGAAGGTCGCATTCCCCACCTTGGTCACAAATGGGGCAATCAAGGGGATGGTTCACCAGTAGAAACTCCATTACTCCTTCTCGTGCTTTGCGGGTCATGTCTGAATTTGTTTTGATTCTCCACCCCTTCATAACAGGCATTGCACACGCAGCCACGGGCTGAATGAATCAAAACGTATAACATGCCATATTACACTACATTTATCTGTGCTGAAGAATGTAACAATAAATACATAAACATATGGATTTACGTAAGCCACGTGTATGAGAAAACTCAAGTAATTGTAGAATATTCTGAAAACCATATAATCTTTCAGCCGTAAGTCAAGAAGTAGAACTGAAAGATTTATTGGTACTTGTGGGTTATCAGAACACATCACTTTAAAGATAGGTTAGGTTAGGTTAAGTAGTTTAGGTTAGGTTAGCTTAGCTTAGGTTAGGTTAAGTTAGTTTAGGTTAGGTTAGGTTAGCTTAGGTTAGGTTAATGTGTGTGGATAAATGACATATATGTGAAAGTTATTATTTTCATCTTGCAGAAAAAAAGACAGAATCTTCCTCACTGTTAGGTAAATCCCAAATTTTTAACACGGTACCAAACAGCAATAAATAACTGAACGAACTAACAGATAACAACAACAGAGTATACGGGTATACTGATGCACATGCGCAGTTTTCCGTGCCGATCCAACTCCACATATTTGACTCCCCCGTTTTGTGTCCCGATAACCCACAAGTACCGATTTATTCAAGCTATTTTATTCTCAGATGGGAATTAAAAGAAAAATAATGTTACAATTATGATTTTCTGAGTACAGGTATTCCTTGTTATAAGTGTATTTGAAACAATTGAGTTAATTTCAATATGTTCACCTAATTCAGAATGATTTCAATTATTAGCATGCGCTCGCTTTAATGTAAATTGTCCAATCAAATGAAGTGGAGAAGAGGAGTTTAGTATTATGTGGGTTGCAGAGGAATTGAAGGGGAGAAGAGATTTTATTTTTCAATTTACACAATTCCACCCTCTGTGACTTTTCTTTGGGACACAACTGTAGCGTGACTCAGGGAGTACCTGCATCTCATTCTGAACAGTCAGACTGTTATATTATGTTATTTACCTCTTAGCAAGCGTAAAAACACTTTACCACATAAAACACGACAGTGAAGTACGGTAAGATAAAGCATCAGAAAGCATATTACTGTTAAGTATTGGTAAATACACAAAGTAAAAATTGTCCCTCCTCGTCATAAACATAATATTCAATGTTTCAAAACAAATATTGACTGTCATGAATAAATCAGGACTTCAAACATTCCATTTTCATACGATAAATGAATAAAAAACAAAAAAATAACTGTAATCCACACCTTCGGCGATTTTTCCACTTCAACAAGACACATCCTACAGTTGCCAGCAACTGAAAGTCGTTCATGATAACAAAATCGGGGAATTTCAACTCCAACAAGAGCAGCAGCCTAAAAATAATAATTAACGTAATGAATAAGAAGAGTGAAAGCATCTGCTTAAATTTTTCAAACTTTTCACGATGCTAACAAAAATATTACAATACTTACTGACGTATTTCCATGCATGACTTCCAGAAGTAGATTAAGTTGAATTTTTAAGAAACAATGTCAAAATATTACATTACCGCTACAACCTTACAAAATTTCACAGAACTTAAATCAGATGGTTCAGAAGTTGCCATGGGGAGAGACACACCATGAAGACACCATAAGATAATTTTTCTTTAAGATAAAAATAGTCTAAAATGCAATTAAATAATTTTTTTTCATTGTCTATGGTCAAGCTTGACCACTGTGACCCCTTTCGGGGTTTTCTTGCAAAAGTACCACGGTGGTTTTGCTTTGCCTTCCGTGGCCAGTCTTTAACCACCAGACTGGAAGAGGAGACGTGGACAAACATCCATGCTTTGAGTGGGACTCGAATCCACGGTCGCAGCAGTCACGAGGTCCGTGCCTCAGACAGCGTGGCCACTGCGCCAGCTAATTAAATAATGCTCATATGAATAACACAATACCATATCATATTAATTTACTACGCATACGAAAACCCACCTGTAGCACCGTAGTTCCAGGGTCAACAAGAACCCGCTTGTCGTCAATAAATACTTCAACCTTCTCCGGAGCTTTTGTGGCTGTACCTCTGTTGCAAACAGTGACCACCCTAGCACTCTGTGGGTTCAGAACCCGGTGCAGGGGGAATCGTAACATGATTCAAGCTGTTCTATGGAAATAATATTTGTATAATTCAGTTCATGCAGACACACGCAAAACGAAAAATTGCCATGATCATTTTGTTAAACTGTCCACAATTTTCTAAACATTAGTAAATGAGAATCAGTACCACTACTACATCATAATCATCATCATCATTGTCCTATTATATATCTACAGCTAAATGCTAAACTTCCATGTCGATTTCAGATACTATTTAGTATTGATATGGAAATTACAAAAATTGTAATGGGATTGGATGGAAGTACCACCTCATCATCTGCACCGCTGACTCAGAAAAATCATAAAATACCTCACTCTGAAGACTCAAAGCTGATACCTCCTGAATATGGGCATCAGCTAACCTAACCTAACCTAAACTGTTTAGGAATTTGTAGGTTCTGAAACTGTGAACGCACAGAGAAAGGAATGAATTTGTGTTTTATTATCTGGTGCTAACCCTGTTACAGGTAATCAAATAATTATAATTTAGCAAATTACACGAATACATCAAAGTGTGTGCTTCCTAAAAGTGTTAAGTATACTTTTTCCAAGTATCATGCGAGTAATGCATACCACATAAACTGATACCATTACACTTACGAGACAATCACACATGAAAGTACAATAATGCAGTTAGAAATGCATTATATTTATATTTATTTATATCTGATTTCTTTAACAATGACGCCAGTTGCTCTGATTATTTAACACTGATTGACAGGATTAGAATAATAAATTGCAAAGTAAGCGGAATAAAGCGGTCAGAGTCAATTTTAATGCATTATCACAGCATTTTCATGGCGGGGCAAAGCAAAGCCATTAAAAGCCTCAGTCAGGATAACCAATCTTTGAGCAAAGATTTGAACCAAAGAACTCCTAAATATAAAACAAAAGTACTAATCAGAAATTAATGAAGTAATTACAGTGGTGTTGCTTTTTATGGAAGTACATCCAAACATGACATTACAGATGAAAATGGATTTGAAGTTGTCTTTAAATTCCACAATATTAAAATTTGTTAAAACACAAATTTCGCCTAAATTGTGAGGCATATATTCACATAGTGAAAACAGGCTGAGTTGTTTGTGTCAGACTGTAATGTATAAATAAAACTGAAATTTGGAGATGGATAATGAAGATTAGATAAGTTAGAATATTTGTTATTAAACATAACTGTACTGCAAAGCTGTTTCATCACTGCCAATAGAATTTCCTTCACATTACATGGCTTTATCACCATAATTGTTTTACGAAAAACTGGAATTTCTTATGGATGAGCACAGTCAAATAAATGTCAATAGCACCATGCTGCCACTACTAAAATTCCATTCAAGTCTATTCACCACAACAATTACAGGTTTGTTAATAATGAAGGTGGGAGCCTGAGAGTATTTGACAACCACTTTTCATATTAAGTAGTCTGATTGAAGTTCTTCAAATGCATGCAGTGCTTGTAACACTACCATGAAATAACTGTTCAATGCCTTACAAAACACAAAACTTCACAGAATGTAACTTCGCACAAGAAACAAGAAGTATTACAACCTACAAAGATCAATTTCGTACAGTTTAATAATCTATGCTGAAAACAAAACTTCTCCAGCTTTAAAATAAAACATTGAATTTCGAGCAACCAGATTCAAGACACATTTAAAAAATGTTGCATGTATTCCAGTTTAATAAGAGTTCTTATCATCCATGTAACGTTCGTCTTGAAATGCTAACAGTACGACCAGTTAGTTAAGAGAATTCCTGCCTTTATAGGACTCCTCCAAAATTTATAAATTCTTATAATCAAAAATCGGCAGTACTATGGATCTACTAAAAAGAAACTGGAACACCTCAGAAAAAAAGAGAATAAGTGCTAGGAATAAAGAATACGGTACTAAAGGAAAATTGTATTAGACATTATGAGTCTAGTGACACCAATAAAAGTCTTGATCTATCGTGGACTTAACCTTATTCTTTAGAAAATCAACAAAGTATCATACTTCACAATCGATAAAGGTATATTCCGAATATAGATTATGAATCACTCAAAATCATTCTTAAATCGACCATAATTATGATAATTATGTAGCTGTTTACTTAAATACGCTTAGGATCCCTAAATATTTACCAATTAACGTAATAGTGTAAAAAATTCCACTATACCAAAATAACCTGCAGATGGCGAGGAGATCGCGAATTACACATAGACACGGATCGCATATAAAGGTGATAACAACCTTATGTTCACAGATCAATTAACTAGTTACAAAATTTAATTGCTATGTACTTAGCGGCATCTTTAAACCATTGATAGGAACTGCTTGGAACTCCCGTTATTCTTAATCGATGTCGGAAGATGTCAGTTGTTTAGGAACCAAGTGTAACATTTACGCTGTAATTAATGGCGTAAACTATGGAGGTTTTCTATGAGAAGATTTATTACGTTCTCTTTGCACTAAATATAACGTATAACGTGAATACATTTTTATGTTTTGTTTCTGTCATAAAATTCAACAACTACCTATTATCTGTAAATGACCGGTAGATTGCAGCACCAGTTATTGATTGTACGTATCACTCATTTAGAAGGGTTCCATTTACTGTGATTTTGTGTTCTCCGTCATTTATGATCCGTGAGAACATGAATTTATGACTGCTTTCGCGTTCCAATCCAGATACCTTCTTCGTATTCCGGAATTATATTTTGGGTTCAAGGGCGAACCGCTGTGTATCGTAGTGGTTCATGCAATATGTGATGACAATATTCTACGATAGAGGGCATTGAATTAGGCCAATTAAAAATAAAACAGCTAATTTATTTTCTTATTATATCCCTTGTGATAATCCGTGACCTTGTTCATATATAATCTTCTCAGCGATCCGCGCCTCCTTCTTTCGAAATCGCTTCATATCTCATTATTTAGGTAAAAACCTAGTGACGAAGTGCAAGTGAAATCACGTTCAAAATGCATGTCGAAAGCATGCATATTTTAGTTACCAAGTAGCCAAATTACCCGTAAAAATGTGAGAATATAAAGGCTAGTGAGCCAACTTTAAATTGTATTATTTAACCCACGTATTCAATTAGACTTGTCTCACGGTCACTGAGAAATAAGGTGTTTATGAAGTGATGGTGATGATTCTTATGCCAATTCTGTGACCGTTTAAGTGAAGATTTAATTCCAATTCTCAAAGCATGATACAAATAAATACAGAAAGGACTTTGATTCTGTGATCAAGTTCATGTGTCTAGAATAGGACAGTTTAATTAACTGGCACAGTGCCAAGTACTGTTTTTATGGTTAGTGAAATATAAAATTTGCTACATCAGTTATTAGGGTTATGCAAATATAATGCGTTGTATAAGTCAATATTGGTTTCAGAGTGAATAAACGGACCAAATGGCATCCCATTTCCGGAGGTTGGCAGTAGGAACTGTTGCGTTTGGTGCTGGAGCATGCCTCACAACATGGCTTTTAACAAGAGATGGAAGTATTACGGTACGCTTTTGATTTAAATGAATTTATTTTGAACTTTAATAGTACTTTTAGGGTTGGGTTGGTAAAAATCCAGAATATGTTAAGTGGTACAGAGGCAATGACAAATAGGGAATGGTCAAACACCAACTGTGAGCTGAGACAGCTTATGCCTTGCATGCTAACTTTGTTCTGTACAGCTTATCCTTCAAGAAACCCTCGAGATGAAGTCAGGCGGGATTAAATTTGGTGATCATGGGGGGAGGGTGGTAGTCAACAGATTCTCTGTGCCCTGCCATATCTGTTTGTTGGGAAGAGTGTTGTCAAGATAGGCCTCAACATCATGATAATGTAGAGGTACCCCATCTTGTTAATGCATGTCCTCATGTCCATACAGCTGAGTAACAAAGGGAACAATGGATTCTTGAATGTGTATACATCTTTTTGGGATGTACTATAGTGACGTTGGTTATTAGTTGGATCAGGTGCATGCAGCACAGAAGGAAAGGCGTGCCAAAAGACAGCTTCCAACAAGAGATGAACAGATAAAGAGCCTACAGACAGAAGATTTTGATGTTCTTATTATTGGGGGTGGCGCTTCAGGATCAGGCTGTGCACTGGATGCAGTTACAAGAGGTAAGAAAAATTGCGGAAGTCTTTTGCTGTTTTCACTTCTTCATCATCCCACCTCCCATTCATCACCTCCTTCTATCAGTCTCCTCGAGTTTCTGTACATGCCCGATGCTTCTGCAGCCACATTTGAATTTGCTGGCCAGCAAATTTTTCATATAAATAAATAAAATTTGTCTGTTAACCACAAATACGTGATGAGTAGGCCTTACGATGTGTAAGATCAATTTATTTATGTGAAATCACTGAAATAATAGCATTTGAGACACTTTTAAGAAATAAATGTGTTCTTTTTTGAAGTGTTTATATGTTTAATGTGAATCGTAATACATCACACGCGCACAATTCTAACCTAACCCAACACCAAGCATAATTCAGAATTTTAAACGTAGTGATGGCATGTGACCTCTGTCCTGTTTTAACACCCCTGTAACTCTGAGACAGCAGCAGGCAGATCTAAAACCACAGAAAAAATTAAAATATTTACAATTTCAGGAGGTCCTATTTTATAATCTTAGTCGAGGGATACGGTTTGCTGTCTGAGGCTATTTTTTTTAGTTTTCCAAGGTTCCTGCAAGGAGACGACAGGATAGTACCTCAAATTAGGATACGACGGCTTCCCTCTGGATCCATTCAGATTCATTATTTGTTAAGAACCTTGTCGTTTTGTGCTATATAGTTTTAACTACCGACAACACCATTAAAAAAAACTATAAAAATAAAAAAAAAATATATTTGTAGTTCTGCAGTTGTGTGTTAAGTAGAGTTCATTTTCTTTTGCTAATGAAATCTTAACCTACTTAGGTTTGAGAACTGCCTTGGTAGAAATGGATGACTTCGCGTCAGGAACTAGCAGCCGCAGCACCAAACTGATTCATGGCGGTGTGCGATATCTTCAGAAAGCCATCATGAAACTTGATATTGATCAATATCGCATGGTAAAGGAGGCTCTGCATGAACGAGCGAACATGTTGACTTCGGCCCCACACCTCAACCACCCACTGCCAATCATGCTGCCCGTTTATACGTAAGCTCTGAAGCGTTTGAAAAGTTTTCTCTTTATCCCCCCGTTAATTTAGAGAACTGGCGATTTGCAGGGTCGCCCTCGGTGGACTAGCGGTTCAAAATACCATCTTAAGAAAACATTATTTCATTTTATGCTCTAAATCAATGATCCTGGAAATTATTTGATCAGTTTTTAAGACAGTTTGATTCTAGAGTATTTAAGAGTGGGCGCATCCAGAGACTTTTTTTTTTTTGCTAATACGAAATTGGATTCATTTTCAATACATTTGCAAAATTAACTAATATGGGAATACTGAACGCTGCATCTACCACGAGTATCAAAATATTAGGAGAATTTGTGATGCAGTCAGAAATAATTCTCTCGGTAATGCAAGGTAAAATTCACCCTGCATCTTACTTTTTGCGTCATACATCAACGACCCTCTTTTCTGTTTTCAGTTTTTGATTTTGGAATTTGTCCGTATTTTCTTTCGGACACACCGTAAGCAATTTAGTGAATTTGAGTGAAGTGTAAGATGTCTTTTATTTGCAGGTGGTGGCAGATTCCCTACTATTGGTTTGGAATCAAGATGTATGATGTTGTAGCGGGAGCAAAGACCCTCAAGAGCTCGTATTTTCTGTCAAAAAAAGATGCCTTGGAATTATTTCCTATGTTGCAAGGGGACAAATTATGTGGTGCTATTGTATATTATGATGGTTAGTAAAAATCATATAATCAGGATTAGATGAGTTTGCTTTTGGCTACGTGTACTGGCAGGTCGCTTTGCAGCGGTACGCAAAGCAACGCTTATTTTATAAGATACCAGTAACATAACATGCAAGCAGCGTAATTCAGATAAAGTCTGCGCATCTTAATAACGTCTGTGGTTATGCCGCATAATTAATTTTTTTTGTGAAAAGCCATTTTGAAGAAATTGAGCTCAGTTTGGGCATAATGTGAAGTAGGGATTCTGTTAGGTCGGTATAAATCAAAATTAAATTTATGTGACAACTTCAGCGTAACTGACAGTAACAGACTTAATAAAAATATTCTGTCTCCTTTTTATTTTCTGCATTTCACGTAGAAAACTTGTGACTATCGAAAATATTATTCACCGTTACAGTGTGTCAGTATCGTGTTTGTTTATAAAGACATTCCTCCTCCATCGCACGATATGCTTCTAGGTCAGATGGATGACGCTCGCATGTGCCTTTCAGTAGCGTTGACCGCTACACGTCATGGAGCTACAGTAGCCAATCACATTCGCGTTACAAAACTATTAAAAGAGAAAGATCCATCCGGAAAGCCCATACTGTGCGGGGCAAGTTTACGTGATGAGATTACAGGAAAGGAGTGGGATGTCCGTGCCAAGTGCATCATCAACGCTACGGGGCCCATGACTGACACGATTCGTAAAATGGACAATCCCACAGTAAAAGAAATATGCTGCCCCAGTTCTGGGGTTCATATTGTGTTGCCAGGATATTACAGGTGCGTTGATACATGGTAGTTCCACGTTGTACTCGGAGCTTGTATAATTTAATTTTGACAGTAACGCCGTTTATATGTCTTGTGTTTATAGTCCCGATCAGATGGGTCTTCTTGACCCGGATACGTCAGATGGCCGAGTAATTTTCTTTTTACCTTGGCTGAAACACACCATTGCGGGCACGACAGATCTGCCTTGTAAAGTCACGCACAACCCAAAACCAACTGAGGATGAAATTTTATTTATTTTAGAAGAAGTGAAAAACTACTTAAATCCCGATGTTGAAGGTGAGTGATGCTAACCAGACTCTAAAACTTTTTTTCGCAGAGCCTCTTCTCATTACGATGCAAGTGACTGTTGTTATACGTACGCAAATTTCTGCGTATGTCGAAAACGTTCAAAATGTGAATCGTATAAAAATCATGATTCTGATGTTAAATTGGCGGCAGAATTGTTTGATGCAAAGCGTATCGATGTGTTTTATATTTAGTGATAAGGTTCAGAAGGTTCATTGTAGGTAATAGGCTTTAAAATTTTCCAAGGATAAATTACTGATGATGACTGTTGTGCGATGTTGCGCCGTATAGTGTAGAAACCTACTGACATTTCAGAGGTGCTTTAGGGCAGTCCGTAACGTCGGCAGATGACCCAGAAGACAGCTGTCTTCTTTCTTGCTGTCATGAGAATCGGAGATCATTCGTAATCACGACATTCTCGAGTCTTTGATGCTTAATGTTTTGTATTAGGTGTTATTTAAACTCGGTGAATGTTGCTTGCAGTCAGGAGGGGTGATGTTTTGTCAGCATGGAGTGGTATCAGACCGCTTGTGTCTGACCCAAATAAAGAAGATACTCAGTCCTTAGCGAGAAACCACATTGTCCATGTGAGCGACAGCAAACTGGTGACGATAGCAGGAGGCAAGTGGACAACATTCAGGGCCATGGCAGAGCATACCATTGATGCTGCGATCAAAGGTGTCGTACACATGTCTCAATCTGAATCCTTCCGATTTCTGCGTACGTAGTACCTTTAAATTAGGCCATGACCATCTCCTTCCAAGTCTGTATGTACCTGTCATTCATAATAATCTTTCTAACTCATTTTCTATGTGACCTTTGCAGTTGAAACAGTGTTGTTTAATAACTTAAGAATCAAGCACTACAAATTACTTACTAAAAAATTGTGCATTAAAGGTGACGTGTCTTCTGAGATATTGTGCTGTGTAATAATAATAATCCGTGGAGTAACAGCCCTCTGAGAGCCAAAGCCGACTAGCTGGC